GTCTCTAACCGTGAAGCTGGGCGACACGGGATCGAATTCATCAGAAAGCATTAGTTACTTCAAAATTACAGGTACACCTTACTGACGAGTGTCAAATAGCACGGAACCTATGTCAAGGGTTTCCTGTCAACCACCTCCAACCACCATCTCATCTTAACATAGTGCACGCAATGTCGAGTCACCTAGACTACTGGCCACATTGCAACTTGGTCGATAGGATTCGATCTGCCCTAAGAAGAACCTGAGACACACGACATTGAACACCATTCAGTTATCAATCAATTGTAAATAGTTAAACACAACCAGTATACTGAAATTTAAGGTAATGACTATTATCAATTGTTTTTCGTAATTCTCATTCACTTCACTTTAAAACAGTTAATACTTCAAATATCTGGTGGTAAAAATATAAACGTAATAATACTAATAGTTTATTTCGTAACCAAACATTATATATAAACAGATTCATTCTAATATTATTTATATCTATTATGAATGCACCCTTATGTCTCGTTCACATTTAACCACTTCATTTCATATAGCACATATTACCATTAAGAAAAAAACATTGACTACTATTTGCTCTTATCAGCACACACCTTCTGCTTTATTATTTTCTTGTACTTAAGTTATATGTTGTTTTTTTAAAGAAAATTAGTTAGTCATAAAATGAAATGAAAAAAGTAATAAGGGTTTCATCTTTACTATAAAAATAAGGATGAATATTTTTGCAATTATTTATTATTTAAAATAAGATAATCAAGGATCATATGGTTTAGTGGTGACCGTACAAACGTTTATGATAGAGTTTTCAGTCATATATATAAATCGAGTAAGTCTGGTATGAAATTATTACTTTAATGGTAATGTGCAATAGTACATTATAACATTTGAATAAACAAACCATTCAGAACTGATGATTTATATGTATAAACATAAATTATTAAAAGTGTACTAAGATGATATTTCTTAAATGATAACATTTTACAATTACTAATAATGTTCTATAATTATTTATTTATTTTTAATAAAAATAAGTTATTTTTACTTGATTTAGATAATCATGTTTATACTTTATCAATGATTTATAGTAATGAGTTAAAATCCATGATAAATATTACGTAACCTAAATGGTTCTGATTTGGTAATAATGAAATATAAACGTAAGTAGACTAGTTTGATTGGTAGTTTAAAAAGGCTTCTCTAATCTTAATAATTTGTTTACTAATATCGGTTTTGTTTTCTTCATTAATTTTATTAGTGATAGTATTTCAGAGAAACTCTTATATAAAGAATTACTTGTAAGTACTACAAATTAAAATATCATTTATTTGTTTCCAACAAAGTACAGCTTATCACTTTATGAAATACATCATTTTCATATTCATAATAACAAATGACATTGATTTGTGTATCCTAACTCTGTTTAAACGAGCATCTTTAAATAGGTTTCATGAATGAACTGTTTTGAATACTAGTCTGTTCAATTTTGTCATGAATCTTTTTTTATAGATATGTATAGTTACGAATACGACACAGGTTTAACATACTTAGTAGAGACATAGAAACATAAAATTTGTAAAAATAGCAACTGATAACAATAGTTATAAAATGTTCGCGTTAGTCTCCAAGTGCTGACCACTGGAAGTAAGTTATTTCATAGTGTTTAGAAAATATCACTTTAAGTGATTTTGATGTTTCATTAATGCTAATATATTGATAAATATGCAAGACACAATTTCATTGCGATTATTGACTCTAAAATCGTGTTATTCTACTAGATTGTATAAATATTGAAGAAATTGTTGGATAGTTTTCTTGACTTACGATAGTCTTTGCTACAGTAACCAGCAAATGAAATAAATAGCTTTTATAGATTAGCACACAAAATGCCGTATAATAAAAGTCTAATCAAAGTAAGGTGGTAACATAATATTAAAGACATTTTACTGATAGTTACTCGATTTTTGGTAGTAAAATCAACAATTGCCTTTTTTGGAATACAAATAGTTTTAAGCAGGAGGGGAAGCCATACATTGATTTGGTAGATGGATTTAAGACGATAAATAAATCCTTCTAACGATAAAAGTAGAACGATATATATTCCAATGATAAAAGAAATTCTGTATAAACTTGATTCATCTACTTCATCCAGACATGAAATTCACTCATCATTTGCATGTATACAAAGTTATTATATTTTAATTCATCAATCTTAATCTGATGTTCTACCGAAGCAGTATGAAGAGAAAATGTGATTTTCGGAAACGTAACTGAGCTCTAAAATACCTATGTGCAATTAATAACTGTACACATGTGTAGATCTAGTGTAAAGGACAGGCACACATGCAATGAAATTGTCACCCGTTTTCAATATAAATAAACCTCTATCTAATCGATGGTTTTTTACTATATTTATTAATCAAACGTCCGAGCAACAATACGCTATCTACATTCATAACTGAAATTATGAAAATCTTCTAGTAGTTGATAAACATTATTGAGGCGAAATTATTTTAATGTTTAAACGTAGGCTGATTACAAATATACACCAACTGTAGATAATCTGATAGACATGCAAGAAACAAAACGAATTCAATTTAGAGTTTATGAAATATTAAGGTCAACGTATAAACACAACTGAAAACACCGGGATCTTAAGTTAACCCACTATTCAGCTAGTCTCTATTCTAATTAACCCTGATAACATTTATATTATTACACTAATTACGTTTGCTTAATTATGTGGAAGTATTGTCTAATCTCTTTACTTATAAGTTCAGGTTAATGAATTCATGCTGACCTGCTCAAATCTTTGTTATTGTTCTCTTCAGAATGATGAAGGGAACTATGTGTGTGAAATTTCAGGTTAATAATTGTTATTACTTTTTATATTGAAAAGTGTTATATTCTGGACGATGAAAGAATACTTATATATTACATTTAAGTGTTTTCATTCAATATGAACAACTGAATATATAGCATAATGATAAATCAACCTTCAGAAAAGAGTAACTGATAAAACTAACAAAGTTTTAAATAACATAACAGTAGTAAATTTATAAGTAAATCGCCTTTACTGAAATTGTTTAGTATAAAATATATTGACAGCTACTTGGAAAAACATTGTTTAACATTACAGTCAATCATAAATCTAAGCATGCCAATACCACTATTTGTAATGAACAGATGGCGAATTAGAAATTTTAATTCACTGTACTCAGTTAAGTCATAAATCAGTCATACCAGTGACAAACCTTAAAGACTGGATACACACATAAGAACAGACTGATATATATAAATCAGTTTATTGCTTAAGTGATGATGACCTTTAGAACCGTAAATAAAGAATATTGAAAATCACATGGTCAATAAAACAATATCGATCATTGCATTGTATAAATAGTTAAATATGGATGAAAAACTTAGAAATTCAAAAGGGTTGCTAATCGTCGTCTTTCTCCAGTAACTAGATGTAATTGTCATTTTCATACATACTGATTATCTCCTGTCAGACGTTATTTTATAAATGGTCATCAGAAATTACAGGTCACTCAGATTATGATGACAAAAAACATTAACTGAATATACGTGGTTTTAAAATAACGTAGAAATCATTTCAATATCTAACTGGTGGTAAATAATACTGAGGACGGTTTCAGACCTGATTAGTGAACTATCATCCAAGTCTTAGCACTTAAATGAGTTCTAATTGAAAACGAATTCACTAGCTCGCAACACTGACTATCTTAATTTTCATTTAGCTGACGTTTTTATCAGGATTTGACATTCAAGGATCTATCAAATAAATATAATATTTAATATGAGACAAATCGATTGGACCTAAATGGTAAAAATTATTTTTTAGCAGTTTCATTCAACGATCCTTGTCAATCTGTTTTCATCTGGAAGATTCGTGAATTGGCAAAATCTGAAATAGATCAAGTTAAGCATGTCTGGCATATTTTATTATTGTTCATTATGGATACAGTTAAGTTTTCTAAAAGAAAACATGAAATGAAAGCCGATAAAAAGCTATCATTCAATAGATTTTGTTTATCTTCCATTGAATACTGCTTCATGAAAGAAGAGATTACAGGTACACCTTGCTGACGAGTGCCAAGTAGCACGAAACCTGGGTCCAGGGTTTCCTGTCGACTACCTCCAACCACCATTTAACGCCACGGAGTTATCTACTTAGCTACTAAATTCAGATAACTTCTTATAATCGCATATGGTACACCAGTGATACTGACTAAAGTTTATATTTTCTAATTAGACTCGAGGAGTACTATAGCAAAGTAGATGTTTCGTATACTTAGCAAATAACGGTATTAAAATATCATCCTATTATTTGCTGTTTCTATTAGAACACTCAAAAGGCTATTTACAAAATCTCTAAATGTAAACTAACAAATTAGAAGAAATACTGCAATTATTTTCCGTCTACTAATTATTTTGATTTTATTCCAGTGCTATGTAAAAGAAAACCTAATTTGTAGTCAACTTTCAACAACAAGAATTAGACATTTAGCATGACAGTGACTATATCTCAACTTCACCATAAAGTCATCAAGATTAAGTCTATCCGATTATCTCAATTTGATATTCATCATTAATCGCTAATTTCCATATATTATTTTTTTGTACCCAATTAATGACCTGGTCATTAAATTAATTAATTTAATGCCCAACTCATCTTGAGTTACCTGGGATTGGTTAGGACATTAGGTCATATAACATGCCTGTGACAAGGCTTAGTGATGAAAACAGACCAGAATTAAATGAACCAATAAAACGTTTAGGCAGAATTTCTTTGAATTTAAAATACAGAGAAACATCAATCCAATAGGCGAATAAAACGTAACATCTATATTACAGACAAGTCTACCCAATACTCTTATGTAGTTGTGCGTTACGTATGCTTGAGCGTTTATGTATGTATATGCATTGACATTATTATATAAATCTGTATATACCTGTGCATACAAATGTCTTTACTTGTCCACTACAATCAAATACAAACATTAAAACTTCGATACCTCAAATAAATGCAAAATTAACTAATTTGATAACATTTAACAATTTCTCACTATTAGGATATTTAGCATAAATCACTGAATATTACGTGATGAAGGAGTACAATTCTCATTTGCTTAACTGACTTCTAAGAGTTCGTTTACTTACCAAAGTGCACAGTGATAAAACTCAAAAAACACTTTGTCATTTCCTCGTACACAATTTTAAAATTATCTTCTTTTGACATTACATATACTTAGTACATTCATAATTATCAGAATCAGCGGTAAGTGCAGTTTACTTATCAACTTATTATTTACATTTTAATAAATTTATTTCAACAACCTTTTGTTGGGTTATGTAAATAATTATTCCATTTCTCATGTATTTGGAAATGAGATATACTGTTTAAGTAACTGAAGTTTCCCTTACTATCTACGCGCAAGCAAAAAAATTAAACATAGTTCCTTTTATCATTTTGAAAAGAGCAAAAACAAAGATTCTAACAGAATAGCATAGATTCATTTTATTTCGTTGGTTCTAATCGGCTGTTTACAACCTGTGATATTTAAAAATCATAATCATTACATGAAACGGTTGAATCGGAAGTTATGTTGAAGACGCATTACTGTAGTATAGCAAGGGTGTAAATAAATTCAATAGATCGAATATTGTAAATATATACCTTACATAAAAGAACATTCTACAACATTTATTGTGACAACAGTTCAAACGGATAGAAACAAGTGATTATATAATGAGTATAGGAATAAAACGAGTAGAGTTCAGTTGATGAAATAAGATTATTTGGAGGATAGTTAAAATAAAACTCAATGATGTAATAAATGCAAGAAAGAGTTTAAAGAAAAAAATATTAAGATACAGCAAAGGAATATTAGTCACCAAGGCAAGGAAAGATTAATAACCACCTCCTTTTGAACACAAATCAGGTAAGGTAAATCATGTAAGTAATTTAAACCCATTATGTAATTATGATTTTAAATATCACAGGTTGTAAGCAGCTGACGAGAATCAACGAAATAAAGTGAATTCATGCTATTCTGCTTGAATGTTTGTTCTTGCTCCTTTCAAAGTTGACCATCTTTTCGAAATGGCTAAACCTGACTAAAAGAAAATCTGATATCAAAAACAAACTCTGAATATTCTAGTCACCATTAGATTTAGTGTGGAAATAATGTATTATTGTATTTTATGTTATAACACTGATTTTCTTTTAAACTTAAGTGAAGGTTTACCATTTGTGCATATTACTTTCTTAAGTAGTAATACGTCACTTGTTACAGTCAGCTACCAATGAGAATAGTTTAAGTTATGAAAACCACTTATTACCTATAGCAATTTTTATTATACACTTCATGTCAAAGTAAAAATTTATCAGCATATGATATAGAAATTTAAAAAAAGGCACATGTAATAAACCGCCAACGAGTGTCTATCTACTGATTTGCTTTAAAATGTCACCACTTCATGTCATTCAGTTCATACTACCAACGTTCTCTTTGTTAATTAAACCATACGAGATGATAGGTATCTATACCATATAATTTTAATAACTGATCCACAACCAGTTGATATACAAGGCAAACTGGACACTTTTTTATCATTCAATAAGTTTTAGAGTAGTAGCTATTTGAAATATAGGGTTTATGCGGATTTTATAAATTCACTAGTTAACATCATAGAATAACCTTAGTTAAAGAACCATCGAAAACCAGGAAGCACTGAACAGCTTCTTCCTCTTTGTATGGGACTCAGTGATGCCTGCCGACGACCCTGGCATCTAGGGTAGAACCCAAGACATCTAGTTTCATGCACATCCACCTGACCTCTAGAATACTGGGTTGGCATCCAACGGTCTACATGTTTAACTACAGTCATTTTGCAATATTCCTAACTATCTTCCAATGTACCTTGTGGGCAACTACTTCAGTCAGTATTGTTGAACCTGATTGGACACGGAGTTTAGCCACGATTAATTACTATAAGGAATTTGTGGAGAGACTAGGTACATTTGAAGATATTCGCTGATGTTAGACATTGCTTAGAATTAATCATGTAAGATCATTTGAGCGCCGGCTCGGTGTTAAGATGGTTAAGTGATCACAGGTAAGGCTGAAGGGTCGTTTATGCGCACGGCTTAGCAATTTATTAGATTTCGATTCAGTGATTGAAAGTTATTTTAGGCACATAAACATCTGAATGCCTTGAATTTGACCTCGTAATGATTTTTTAGATTTTTTAAAATTTCCTAAATGTTCTGAGAGAAAAAGCAAACGAGAAACTCATCTTCACTTTTACCCTTTGAAATATATGCAAATTTTTTAAATTATGATCACCTTATCGTAACAGATGTTACTATAGATAGTAAGAGTTTGCAAATGCATTTTAGGTCTTCTACTGACAGGTCACATGACAGATTGACTACAGCCAGGAAAACTACTGAAAAACAGGAAGTTTCGGACAATTAATTTGTCCAATTTTCGAACTTACAACCAGCCCGTATTCAACACTCCAAAGGCAACCAAATCCTAAATTACGGTATCACATTTGATTGGATATGGAAATCTAAACACCTGGAATCATTTTGACCGGCCAAATGGTGACGCTGACACCGTCGAACCTGTAGGTCCCTAACTGAATATTTGGTCAGGGTGTGGATATAAATTGTCAAGAAGTCCCAGCATACAACAAAACGTCTACCTAGTGTTATCCAGTTTTCAGTAGTTTTTCAGTTGATGTCAATTTATTACTCTTTACTTAGGAAAAATGTATTGATTTATACATTTTCAAGCATTCATTTTCAGATAAAACTTTGCATTATGTACTATAAAAGAACTCGTGAGAAATGAAAGGAAAGGGTGTATATTAAAATTATATAAAAACTTTCAGTGTGTGAATTTCATTAATAAATGAAGTTAAGTTTCGTTAGCCATTAAATCAATTATGATTTGTCCCAGTAAAACAGTAATTAAAACGCAATGTTCATTATTTGTTATCATAGATGTTCTAAGTCATGTGACTTTCGCATTATCATACTTGTCGATTGTAACACAATCAAAAAGGTGCTACATAATAAATAATGCAATCAATTTACATGTACCCCATATTCATGCATTTAACGCTGGGTTAAATCACGTGATAATAAATAGTAAACATGGTCTTGAATATCAACGGTTCAGTGACATAAATGAATTATGTCATTGATTAGGGTAGGAAACATTCTAATTTGGTTGAAAAAGAAGTTTATGCATATATATCCTTTAAATAGGGACAGGTTTGGCCTGATTTCTGATATATGAATTAGTTTCTCTTTCCATAGTAAAGGGAATAAATAAGAATCAATATAAAATTTTGTAAATTTTTGAAAAAAAAAAATGTATACTTTTATTCACTATTAACGAAAATCTCCTGCTGTTAGGAAACTTTTATAGGTCAGTTTCTTTCTCAATATTGCTGTCGGTTGAAGAATGACTATTAGAATTTTGTTAAAGTTTAATAATATGAACTTGATTTGAGTGTTTCCGAAATAAAATTGTTTAGGATTTAACTTTTTACAGTTGTGACATAGTAGAAAGCATTATCTAAAAATTAAAAATACCAAAAGAGAAAATGTTCGAGTGGAAATTAGATTGTGCTAAAATTGTATAACACTTTCAGTAATCAGTTACAATATTATCTTCAACCCAAGTTTACAAAATTATATGTTTAAACTGTAAGTATTTACTCTAATTCAAAGAACGATTTGAGGACTTTATGACTGCTTCTTCTAATTTTATTTATATTCATTCATATTTGTTGCAGTCATCATAATTAAGAGGTTATCGATACTATACAAGACCAATACTATCCCCTCACCTTTTTTCATACTAGTCATTTGAGTATTTTAATACAATCCACTGAGTAATGACAGTTCAAACAATATTTAAACTTCAATGAATTTACATTGAATATCCATCGTTCGACACTGAAGAAAGGAAAAGAAAGGAAAAAAGAAATTGAAAAATAGGCGTACAAAAAATTTCTTCTCGATCATCCTGTTTTCTACATGAATGATCATTTAATATAAGAAACCTTTATATCATTTTTGCTCATCAGTGTGAAATGATAAATGATTCATTAACTGATGAATGCTTGCAGTCTTAAACTATTTCATAACAAAGAACCTATTAAAATTTACGTCATCATGTTGTCTCAATGAAAAAAAACAGATATGATATAAATCCGGTAAGTGATAATTACACTTCTATTATTTACGCATGATAATATAAACTAATAGTGAAAAGTATTTTATAATGGAAAAAAAACGATCTTCTCCATAATAAATCCATAGATCTGTATTAAAAACTATTATCATCATGTCCACATTGGATAAATATCAGAAAAAAAAGAATAATGGAACACTTAATAAGGATTTCAAGTACTTGAAAGATGTATATATAAAGATGTATTGCGGAATGACATCATGTGGAAAGCCAACACTATTCAAAGAGAATCAAAAAGTCATTTAGACTGAATTCAAGTTTCCTTAACAATATTTCTTCACATTATCTTATGTGATTTCTAATCAAAGACCTATAGAATTCCCTTCGACGATTATACATAAATTAACAACTTTGTTGTTAACCTAGATTTTGAAATTTTTTACTCTTAAAAATTCATGAAATTCTGTAACTATAATCCAGCAATATCATTTCATAATTGTCTCATTTCTTACTTGCTTATCAATGTGAAAGTAGTAATTTAAAGAATATTAACAAAAAATCAATCTTTTCATTGATCACAATATCATGACAACATTACCTGCTTACTCACATACACCTGTTACCACTCGTGGAGGAGTATGGATCACCCACAAGTATTCTCAATCTAACTCTGTCCTAGGCAATACTTTGCAGTTTTTCCCAGTTATTATTCATCTTTTTGAATCGTGACAACATATAATTTAGAAATTCTGAGTAACTTCACTCATATTTTCTTTTAACTAAATAAAAAGAACAAATGAAAAATAGGTCCGCAATAAATAAATATTTTAAACACTTAGTTAAAATGAGTGAGTAGATAAGTATAATTCCAAAAAAAAGATTACAGTCTTTGTTTAACATTTTGTTTCAGCCGTTTATACTCACGCATACACATATACATGTATTTCATGTTTTCGTGGATAAATCATAAAAGAAACATCGAAGAATAGCCTCACAATCCAAAGTCATTATTTTTGTTGAATAGTATTTGTAAATACCTGTAAAATGTTTGTTTCACATAGTT